ACCTGAGAAAATAACGGTCAATTACGGTAGGGGACGGGGGGGGTGGGGTGGGTGGGTGGGTTTCCTGATCTATTTTGCCCAAATTTCTTTAGTTTAAATGGACCTTTTGAATATAGTTAGGTAGCTCGGTGCACGAAGCATATCGTGTTCACACGGGGTCCGGGAAAAGAGTTGCACTCCAATGGGGTATGATGTAGACAATCTACTCTAATGCAAATATCAGTAGCTGGTTACACGATCTGAACTCATGACCTATATATCACACGAAGACAACTTTACCGTTGCTCAAAAGCTCGTTACCTTTTGAATAGAGTCGATTGAACCAAAAGTGCTTAATTTTCGTAAGTTCAAAGCATATGTGTGTGAGATATAATGAAGACACAAAACATACATATCTCAAACTTAAGGGACCATTTGAGATAAATATAAAAGCCTCCAAATGGGCCGTGGTATATATTTAGAGTTTGATTTTGGGTTCTACTCTTACAAATTTACAAAAGGAGTACGCCTCCCTTTCCTCTCGCTAATATACACAAGTGAGACAACCAAATTGACAGAGAGCTGTGAGGCGGACACAACAATGGCGGACGATGACTATGATATGGACGGAGGGTTAGTGCCTCTTTCTTCGTTTTGTTTTACTGAACAAATTTTATGCGTTTGGCTTATTATACGTAATACAATTTCATCGCTTCTTTTTTACTATCTCTGTCTTTTCAGTTGAAAGATTCTTCCTTTTTGGTATATTTAACTGATTTCCAGTGAATATTAACTTATTTTAGGGTCTAGGGCTTCTAATTTCGTGTCTTAACCTTTTAGGGTTTGTCTGGTGTTTTGTTTAGTATTTGGGTTTTAACGTAGGGGTTGTTTAACTTGTTTTAGGGTTTATCAATTTGGGTTTAACATTTTAGGATTTTAAAAGTTATTGTCTTTGAATTTTACACTGCCATTCTTTTGTGTAGGTGTTGAAGTCTATATTGAGGTCTGTTCTGCTGAAATTGGCACAATTGGATATAGCCGTTTTGGTCCTAATTGATATTATAGAGTTCTTATAAGCATTCGAGAACCTGAAGTCTTGTTTTTTTCTTCCTCCGATCTTCTTGATTTTGCATGGCAAGTTTTGCAGACTTAAGTACACAAATAAAGTTGTTACCTAAACCTTTACCTTATCAAAAAAAAATAAAGTTGTTCCCTTTGTTAAGTGCTTAAGCTTTAAGTGATTGGTTTTCAGATAAGGCGGTTCACATGAGTCATGAGCTGACCGAAGTCTTCGGTTTGAGTCTTATTGTGAGACATTAATAAAAAAAATAAAAAAAATCTATGAGAATTAGACCCAGACATCTGGAACATATGCAGATAAAAAACAAACAAATAAGGTGTCGCCTCTCTAAAGTTTAAGCTTTTAGATGAGGCGATTCACACTATTCAACTACAAGTATCTATGTACTGTTGGAAGAGTCTATTCTTATAACCACCTTGTTGGATAAGGTGGACGGATACTTTTATAGAGTTAGGTAGACAAAGGCTCCCCTGTAATGGCTCTGCCACTGAGTTGCACTTTCTGGATTGCTGCTTTAAATGGATCATTTGCGTCCGTTTGAGATTTTTGTAAATTTAGCTGATTAGTTCATTTAAGGTAGCATGGATGATAATATACTATTTTGCGGCCAAATTTTTGAAAAAATGTATGCATAAAGCTGTGTTTAACTAGCTGCACTTTAGAGGACTTTCACATGACTGGCAATGTGGATGGACTATCAGCAGTGCTGGAGGTTAAGGTCATGACGTTTACAGAAGTGTCCTATTTTACTCGAGAAATGCTTTGTATTAATACAATGGAAATATTTTAAAAGTATAAATACAATGGATATTTCCAAAAAAAAGAAAAAATTGTAGCAAACCTTCTGCGTGAATATTGCTATATATAGTGCATACTTACACAAGCTGTGGAGATATCTACTGTTCGTGTTCTAGCTTTCCCTGGAAAGATCCCTGCCATATGCATTGATAGGGCATTGGCCTTTTTTGTAAGTCCAGCAGTCTAGCGAGGAAAGCTATATTTGTGGTTAAACCATTTTTTAGTGGTGTAATTGTTTTTTGTTTTCTGATTTGGTGGTTGTGAATATGAATTATGTTGGATTCTGGTAAAGGTCATTGGGTATTGTACCTATTAGGCATTTATCTGTCTACATTTGTGCAGATACGTGGACGAGCCAATAGAACCTGAGCCTGATGTAAGATACTTCTCTTTTTTGTACTCCTAAGCATAGGTGTGTAAATTTTGAATTTTTATTTAATGAAGCATATTGCATTATTGGGCTTAACTGACAGGAAGGAGCAGAGATTGAAGAAGATAATGGCAACAACGAGGACATACCAGACCCCCTGTTGGGTGAAGGTGAGGAGAAAACAGAGCAAGAGCCTGTGGAGCGACCTCGGAAGACGTCTAAGTATATGACAAAATATGAACGTGCTAGAATCCTGGGCACTCGTGCACTCCAGATCAGGTCCTTTTGTTTTTTCCCAGCTTTGCATTATTCCCAAATTCGTATTTTAAAATTTGAAAACTTGTGAAGCCAAATGCAACATTTTATAATTTGGTGAGTTCCTTTTTCCTTGAGCAGCATGAATGCTCCTGTGATGGTTGAGTTGGAGGGGGAAACTGATCCACTTGAGGTCAGCCACTTTTCTTATCTTCATTCAGACTTATGCAAACAATGTCTGTTTGGTGAAGTTTCTAGATTGCCTAATGTCTTTCTGTTGATGTTTATTTATGTTAAAAGATTGCAATGAAGGAGCTCCGAGAGAGAAAGATACCATTCACAATTCGCCGTTACCTGCCTGATGGAAGGCAAGGTTTCCTTTGTCTTTAAGCATCTGTTATTATTTCTTTCCCATTTATTGTGTCATCCTCCTCCTACTTAAGTTTTTTTTTTTTTTGGTGTGTATTAGTTATGAAGATTGGGGAGTCGATGAATTGATTGTTGAGGATTCATGGAAGAGACAAGTCGGAGGAACTTGATGCTTGAAGTGCCTCCTTTGCGTGTGAGGAGTATTATCTGTTGGTTTTGGTTGTGAAGTTAACATTAACAATGTTATCAATGTATTAAGGAAAACTCAAGTGATTAATCATATCGACTCTGTAATATTGCAAGTTCTAATGGGTATGTACTTTGTCAACCATTGATGGAGCAAGGGCTCTAAAACTGGGCACCAGTGCTGAGTTTTTGTATGAGATGGAAGTAATTTACTAGTAGGGTCCTGAGACTCCAAAAATTTGTTAGTAAATGGAAAAATGGAGTATGACTCTCAACACTTTTTAGAAGGAAATTGGGTTGCGCATTTTGCATGTCATATCTCGGTTAAGATTTCTAAATGTTTACCCTGATTCTCTCTTAAGCTTCTAAAGACTACCTAAGTAACCCCTAAGCATATTGTTTGACGTTGTCATTAAATCCATAAACCTTATCTTACTTCACAAGAAAAAAACAACTCCAATGGTTCTCACGATTCATTTGTAAAAACAGTGGCAACAATCTTTGTGGGATGCATATTTGAAACGACTTTCGAACCATCAAATGGATATTGACCCAACCATCATATGAACAGAATTGATAGGCAAAATTGATTCTGTACAAACGTGAGAACTCTATCAAGTACTCGTTTTAGTATCCGGACATCTTTGGCATTTCCATTTAGAGTCCGGACATCTTTGGCATATCCACCAACAGCGCCTTTTGCCATGATAAATGTGCAACATAGGATTCATATTGTATATTTGAATGAGGCATCCTTGCTTCTCTCATGGTACATTCCTCTTCCCACCAAATTATAAAAGGAATAATTTAACCACTACATTATGCGAAAATACAAATTATTTTCTTAACGATATTTTATGCGGACAAACATACCAATCAGTCAATCGCCTAAGAGTTGCAAACAATATGAGAGTAGATAACATCTCACACTAGGAAATTTTGGTCTACAAAATCTTGCCTCTCTACTCCTTCGGGGTAGGGGTAAGGCTGCGTACACACTACTCTCCCCAGACCCCACTAGTGGGATTTTACTGGGTTGTTGTAAAATCTTTTGTTAATGAAATCTATTATTAAATGGGATATAGGTTAATCACTATTTGAATTTGCCTACTGTAAAACTTAGAATATAATAGACATGCAGAGACATTTACAGTAGTTGATAAGTTATAACCAAGAGAAAAGCCAAAAAACACTTCATTTAGATTTTAACCATAGGCCTCAGATACATAGAGACAAGGCCTCTGATTATAAACAAAACTAGAAAAGCTAACTCAAACAAAACTTCTAATAACAGTTTTACTAAATATGAAGGAAATAACATTTCTCTCCAGGCTTTCTCAGGAATTTTCAACTTATCAACTCTTTAGAGCTGCATTGATCAAGTTGTTGCTGACATCCCAAAGGTTCCGCGCTAAAGCTTCATCTTGTGCTAGCTTGCTTGGCTCGTGCTCGTTGCAGTCAACAAAGTACTTTCCAGTGACGCCTTTTAGACTTGGATGGAGGGCAACATAGCATGTCGTAGCTGCTCCCTGTAAGATAGAATCATCGTTAATACTAATCAGTATTTTCCACTTCAAAATCTAATGACAGTCTACGTAGAATCATCGTTAATACTAATCAGTATTTTCCACTTCAAAATCTAATGACAGTCTACGTAATTATTGGAGATTGCCCAGACAGTTTGTTGGTATTGAACCTTAACTTTATCACCTAAAGATATGATATCTTAATACCTTATTTGCTGGAGAAAACATCATTTTACCTGGCATTAAAGGTCCATGAAGATGTCCAGACAAATTTAACATATATTTAACTTATATACGCTAACAAAGTTCTTTTTACACAATCAGTGGCCATTTGTTGTACGTCGTTTCCCCTATTTTCTAGTTTTATCATCTCATGATCAATATAATTAGTTAACTTCTAAACAATAGTGTACTAAAATTAAACTTATTTAACATAGCAATCCTTTTGCCATAGGACCACAGGGGCAAAACACTGGTTTTTGAACCTATCCAGAATATAGGTGCTGCTTTGATTTCTGATTGAGGTACAAGGGCATTGTTAGGAAGCCACTAAAGGTCAGTACAGATTTTCATGATTAGATTTATAAAGCTTTAAATGCAGTAATGCAGTTAACTTATTGTGACAAGGCAATTTAAAAAAAGGTTAAAACCCTTGCAAAGAATTAATTCATTTACCTGAGGGACATTCTTCCACATGAAACAAGTAAAAGCCCTAAAGATACCTGTCAAAAAAAAATACAAGTAAAGCTCCTGAAAAATGAGTGTAGTAGAGAAAATCTTTTGTGAGGGGTTAATATACAATACATACTTGTTGAAAGAGCAGAATGTCTCATGAGGTTTGTCATTATTAAACCTGGATGCACCGAGTTAACAGTTATATTTGCTCCCTCTTCCTGCATTTGAGGAGAATATTACACTTTTTAAAGTATTCTGAGTATATATAGCTTTAAATTCAGGTAAAGATTTTTTATTAGTTAATCTCTTAAATAGAAGGAATATGAATAGGTGCAAACTCTCTCATACAGTAAATACATTAATTTTGTTTAAAACCAATATCAATGAATAAAAGCGTCTAATCAACATTTTAAACATGTATATTATTAAGATTTGCCGAATTCAATATGATATGAAAGTACACAAATATTCTGAATTCGATTTATACCACAACCTATTGTCAGAGAATTTCCACGTGCTTGACCACTAGCATTTGAAGGTTGATGATTGATATAAAATATTATGAGTGTCTAAGCTCTAACTGTTTAAACTTTTAGATAGAGAATTCACACAATTCAACAACTTAAGGTTGTGATACAACATCTCCAAATGCAAACTTCTACAATAAGTATGTCCCATTCAGCATCTTTTCCAATTCAAGGACCTCAACGCTTTTAAGGTATCATCTTTTCTCTGTGATGATAAGTAGTTAAGCCATTGATTTGATGAGCTCATGTGGCCAAGAACTAAAACAGACTAATAACATCAACTGAACCCCCATAACTTCTAGTTCAAATCAGTAATACATATGCAAAAAGATTTTTAAGATGTAAACATATAATAGATCACCTCCATTTTGAACCCGTTGACTCTAAATACTTGGATTTTCCTATGCTAAGAGAGAGATCTAGTTTTGATATTATATCAATTGCTCCTCATACTGACAACTTTCAGTAATCAAGAAGTTTATTGAGTTACCTGCAAGCGGCGAGAAAGTTCATTGGAATGCAATAGGTTGGCTAATTTGGACTGCCCATATGCTAGTCTTTCTTGATAACTGGTTCAAGAAACAACAGTTGGATGAAAACTAAAGCGATTGTTTTATTTCACTGTCCTGAACTGGACAAAAGGTTGATAGGGTAATGTAGTATACCTGCTCTTGTCACTGAGTTTGTGAAATTGTATTCCTTCTTTATAAGGGTACTGATGAAGTAGTGATGACAGGTTCACAATCCTACCCTGAATACCAGTAGTTTTTGCTGTTTCCTTCATTTTGTCTATAAGAAGGTTAGTCAAGTAGAAGTGACCTGAAAACCAGCAAATAGAGGTTTGAGAACTAAATCAGCTGCGTCGAGAGAGCGGTTTCTTCCAAAATGTGTATTAAAGTTACATATTGTAATATATACCTATATGATTTGTGGCGAATTGCATCTCTATGCCATCTTCTGAAAGCTGAAATGGACAGAACATAATACCTGCATTGTTTCTAATTTGCAAATTCTCATTAGGTAAACATATTGTTCTAGTAATAGTTCAATCAAAAGGCACACTGGAGAAAGATGGAGAGCAATTACATTAAGATATTGAGAGGAAGATTAAGTGCTTCGAATTTATCAGCAAATGCCTTGACAGATCTAATTGAGCTCAGGTCAAGTTTCTCAATATCAACGCGAGCAGCTTTATTGTCCTTGAGAATACGCTGTTTTGCTTCATTTGCAGCCTCCATATTTCTTGCTGCAATAATGACATGGACATTCCTCAAAGCTAAAATTCTTGCAGTCTCCAAACCAATGCCGCTTGCACCTCCTGTTGTTGCAATGCGTTATCATGAAAAAGTTTACTTGAAATTTATCAAAAACTGTAAATGAAATGCACCTTGAGCCTAACTCAACACCAAAACTAGCTTATGAGGTGAAGATTGCCAAGATCATAAAAGGAGATACTCATCCTGGTCAACCCACGAAAAAGTTTAACTTCAAAATTACAAAAAAATGTAAAGAAAATTGAACTTTGACGAAACTTAACCCCAAAAGACCAGCTCATGAGGTGATTATTGAGAAACTTGACCTGAGGGGATAATTGTTTATTCTCTTAACCCATGTCCGACATGCTAGTTTAAGGGTTCACTACTCGTCTATAGTTTCGATAATAACAAAATTTGAGAATTAAATTTTAATCCAATTTAAAAGCATGGTAATTCTGTGTGTATTCAATTTTACAGGATTTAATTGAGCCAAGCCATGTGGTAGAAATATGATTATATTCAAATCCTATCTTTCGAAATGACATGCTACCGAATATACTGTCCTATACTGAGAAGATGCTGAGAGGGTTCCAAGGAATTGATCGAGGGGAATCGACTCAAGGTGCAGTTAAAAAAGATTATGAATCTCTGATTTAAGGAGAGAATTCGAAGCTAAGACTATTCTTGGAATAAATGGTGTAAGATTGGATACAAAGCCTAGAAATTATAAGAAAAGAATCATTATAATCAATGTTGTAGAAGCTGACAATTACAGAATCAAGATACTATTAAACAAGGCAAGAGAACTGAAGATATTCATCGAGAATTGCCGAAGATTGAGAAGAAAAAAAAATTAAAGATCAGCAACGGCTAGTAGAATCAAGAGTGAAGACTGAACTATAAATAGAAAAAGCAATGAAGATAAACATATAAAATTCAGTTGCTCTCAAATTGCTTAAACTCAAAAGCTGTCTGTTTGTCACCATCTCATGCTTACAGTTCTAAATCATGTTGTCTATAATTCCTTGAGCAAATGCAATTGCTCTCGAATTGCTTATTACTGTGACTTATAGTACTTTTTATGTAATATGTAAATTTTATTTCAAAAAACTTAAACTCTATGTCCGAATTCACGATCAAAATTAAGAGGTTTTGACTCTCGAAATCCGAATTCCGAACTGCATCATATAAATTGGGATTTGGGATAGAGGGACTAACAAACATACTATAAGAGGTTAAGATTTCAAAAATAGAGTTAAAAATCTGTATAACTGCAGCTAACTTAAATCCTTATGTTATTTGTATAACTCAAAAGTA